AACAGCTTCAGTGATTTTAATGGAAGTTTTTGTGAGTGCTTGATCTCTAAACTGAAGTCAGTGAAAATGTTTTTTGATAATATAAATGTTCTTTGCTCTCTCTCTGTACAATGAAAGTGTTATGATTTTAGCCTAACTTACAATGTTTTTATTAAATTCACATTAAATGCAAAGGCAGTCGTACTAAAAATATTTTATGGCATGACACCATGTAGCAACTCAATGTAATAACTGCACATAATGTAAAAACTGCATATAATGTAATAAATATTACATTATTATTGTAATAAAATGTTCATAATGTAATAATTTTCTAAAAACGTAAACAAATTTGAGCTAATAATGTAATTTTTCAATGTAATAAAAATGTTTCACATAATGTAATAGGTTATTGTATGAGAAATGTATTACATTATGAACACACTGTGGCAACTTATAATGCAATCACAGTTCATAAGGTAATACCAGCACATAATTTAAAAGAACTATGTTTACAATATCATAATTATCTTTCAATATAATAAATTTGAGCACAAAACATAATCATAGTTTTATTAAAAGAAAATTTGGCTTATTAGGCTACATTGTATACACAACTTACACAAAATACACAACTTTTATTTTTTATAAAAAGCTTACTAATTATGTGATTATGACATGCTTAATTTTTGAGAAATAGGCCTGGTTTCACAGACAGGGCTTAGACTAAGCCAGGATTAGGCCATAGTTCAATTAGGACATTTAAGTAATTGTTATAAATGTGCCTTAGAAAAAAACATTACTGGTGTGCATTTTGAGACAAAATAAAGGCACTGATATATTTTAAGATCAGTCAGAGCAAGTTTCTTTCAGTTGAAAGCACTCAGACTTAAATTTTAGTCTGGCATTAGGCTTAAGCCTTGTCAGGGGAATAGTCATTTAAATGGTTGTTATAAAAACTTGTTTATATTCTACACAAATGTATAGGCCTAATGTATTTATAATTTTGGCGATATGATTAGATGGTTTTATCTTCCTGAGGTAAATGTCACGTAACTGACACATTCTTCACAGGCTGTTATACTGATGATTTCACTGGCTTATAGGCACAGAAATGATGCGTGATTGTAGTTGTACTTTATTTTTCAACATTTAATCTAATATATTCAACAATCCTCTGATGTACATTCATGTTATAACTTGTATTAAAGTGAAGAATTGTTCATTTAACTTGTGCTCCGTGCTGCCGTAACGTATTTAAGCAACATTCCATATTACATCCATACAGAAAGCATTTTATCATGTCATGCCCAGTTTAGGGAGCTAATTACTCTCACACACTCTCTCTCTCTCACACACACACACACACACACACACACACAACCAAGAGCACCCTTAGTTGAAACTGTAATAATAACATATTTGGAAAACTCTTCTGTGCATATTTACATTTGCATAGCATCAGATGTTTCTATTTACAATGTTTGCAGCGTTGAGCAGTGTAGCTAATCACAGACACGTCCATTGAACCGATGAACTGAGATAAGTGACAGGCTCAGAGCATTTGAAATTATAAAGGGAGCACTCTTTGCACACATACTAGACTATCTGTAATGCATTCAGAATTTTAATTAAAGGTAGGGGTGCTCCGATTGATCGGCTACCGATCACTATCGGCCGATAATCACATTGGGATGTTTGATCGGCGGTCTCTACAGAAATGATGCGTGATTGTAGTTGTACTTTATTTTTCAACATTTAATCTAATATATTCAACAATCCTCTGATGTACATTCATGTTATAACTTGTATTAAAGTGAAGAATTGTTCATTTAACTTGTGCTCCGTGCTGCCGTTGCTTGAGGCAGATGACGCGATCTATCCCAGACTACATTAGATGGAAACTTTTTTTTGTTTTTTCCAAATGTGTTAAAAAAATGCCTTCAATTCAAAGGACAAAGAATTTAGTAGGGGTGCAACTGAATTGTTCCTAGCAAAAATTTTAATCAATTAAAATATATTTATATGTAATCACTGTCATTGTCATCATACCACGGACATTATACCTGAGATGTTAAAGGGGTCCTAGTATGCTTTTTCACTTGTTCAACTTTAGTTAATCTGTAATATTGCTGTTTGAGCATAAAGATCTGCGAAGTTACAAAGCTCAAAGTCCAATTCAAAAGGAGATATTTTATTTAACAGAAATCACTTTTAAAAAAACTACAACGAAGGACTTGTTTGGACTACAACGCATATTTTCCGGGATTTGTGATATCACAAATATCGATGAATGGGACGAGACCTGGTTGAGCTGCACTAGAGAAGGCAACGAGTGTTATCACTATGTCGGAGACACGCTAGCTTTCCCAAGGCAGACGAACTTAGAGTGGTTACAATCATCCGGGTTTAAATCGCGCTCAAATTGATTTGATTTTGAGCAATATTTACACTGAAGCTCGCAGGCGGCTATGGAAAGGGCATGACATTTCCCGACCAAGCACCGAGTGGTGCCAATCACAACACGCACTGGCCCAGCTAACCAATCACAGCACATTTCGTATTTCAGAAGGCGGGCCTTCATTTGATACAAGAACTATTCGAGCTGTTCATGCCAGACTGGGGAGAGAGGTGTTGTAATAATGTAAAATATGTGAAAAAATAATGTGTTTTTCGAACAACCTAGTATGAGAGCCTGTTCTAGTACACCCCCAAAACAAAATCAAGACTTTGTAAAAGAGCATAATAGGACTCGTTTAAAGTCCACATGAAATCAAAATTTACAATATTTATTTTGTTAGTGCATATTGCTAGTCTTAAGGTCAACAATTAATCTGTGCAAGTTAATCCTCTGAAAAAAATTGTTTGTTTTGGTAAACTTTAATCAAAATCTGATCATTTTCTTCCACTCTGGAATGGCGTGCCTTCTCTGATGAAGTCAGTTTGAAGGCTTGGGCAGAATATGCTTAACCACGCCCCTCCGACCCATTAGTCTGCTGTGAGTGAGAGATGAGAGGAGGAGTGCAAAAATAAAACCCCATCGTCTACTTATTATTCCGTTGCTGCGTCTCAATGTGCCTACTTATACTACGCCCTTAAAGTATGTACTCTTTTGGTGAAGAAAAAGTACACACTTTTGAGTGTGTAGTAGAAGAGTAGGCAAGCTTTGGGACATACTATCACGTCACACAACTGCATCTTTAACGGACGCTCTGTCGCATAGATACACGCAACCTGTCACTGTAAACTGGCCTGTCAATCATCTTGTCACAGTTAACATCCTCCACATTCACATACTATTTAGGATGGATAGTATGAACATTGAGACGCAGGGCGTTTCAGTTGGAAATAGGCCACCACACTGAAATCCAGTCGACAGCAACTTCCGGTTTACGCGGACTTTAAAGTAAATATGTCAGCAAACTGCGCTCTTTCAAGGATGTGCATTTAATGCATGGCCAAAGTAAGAACATAATCTAAGTGTCTCCTCACATATTTGCTTTGCTTAATCCATTCATGTACAACTTAATTCTAAAAAGAAATTTGTTGTACAAAAAGTTTACATTATGTGCAGTTATTACATTTTGAGTTGCTACACACCCATATCTGTTACTTAAGTAAATAGACAGGTTTTTATGCATAGTTAATAGATTACATTATTAGGCTACTTTGACCATCGCCCATTATAGATCAACTAACATAGGTGAGATGTACATATTTATCTTTTGTGTGTGTGTGTGTGTGTGCTTTATTTATATTTATACATATGTGTGTTTCATTCACATCTTATTTTTATTATCTCTGTGTTGTTGTTGTCTCTGTGTACTGGAAGCTTGTGACAATAAAACAAATTCCTTGTATGTGCAAACATACTTGCCAATAAAGTTATTTCTGACTTCTGATATGCGTGTGTGTAAGTAGGCCTACTACAGTATATATGAAAATGCATATTTTTCAATTAAAGAGAACTTATAGAATAAATATGGACTGCTTTGGGTGCTTGACACTTCATTGGTCATTTTGTGTTTTAAGAATGATATTCAAGGTTAAGAATACGCTGGAAGTTACTTAAATGTCAATTATATAGGTAACGTTATACATTAGAGAAAGACAACTTTCCTTATTGATCACGTCTTCCCTCAAGTAAAATGCACGTTTTCTTGCGTGGCTGGATGTTGGAATCACGTTGTTTGCATTCGCTCAAACTGATTTGCTGAAGTCGAAACGCGGACGTTAAAAAACGTAACTTTGTTAGTGCGAGTCCCGCTCGCTGTGAAGCGGGAGCGACCAGCCGGCAGAGGATTCCGCTTGGTCTTAAAGCCTCCCTCGAACGGCTATGTTCACAAATCAAACACTTGAATGAATCAGCAGTTTGAATAAATCGGCTGAACAACAGATTCATATTTACGGTCTCATTTTTAAATTTATTTATTTATTTGTTTGTTTGTTTAAATTATTATATATTTTTTATATTCAATTTTTAAACTAATTAATTTATAGTGTTATATGTGTATTATATGTGTATAATGTGTATATAACCTAAATGCTACTTCAGATGCAGCTTCTGAGAACAATGGTATGGCCACACTGTAGCCTCTGTAGCCTTTGTAATAAATTCAATGTTCAATAAAAATATTTCTTTCTAACGTTATACTTTGTAATGTCTATACACTGCTTTTTTAATTTAACACAATAATGATTTACCTTCTGGGGCTAATTTCTCAGGCCAAATTACTGTAGATTTGTGATTAATTAATCATAATTAATTAATCAAAAATTTCACTCCCTCGACAGCCCTAATATACATATGCATAAAAGTGCTCTAAAATCATAGTAATAATACGTAATACTGCCATAGAAATAATTGAAAATATATAACACATTGCCAAGCCCTATCACCAACCTCTAATAACAATAATTGACCGTTATATTGTTACAAATGCATATTAGTATTTTAGGGTAATTGTGCAGCACTTGGGATGGAAACCGAGAATTCCCAAGAAATAGTTGAACTGTGAAACCTGTTAGTCCAGATGCTGCAGAACAGATCAAGAGACTCGCGCAGCCGGTTAGTGCTGTTGTCCTCCCTTATGACCATGTTATAACTGCTACTGGCTGCCACAAAGATGATGGCGGTCACATCTGTGATTATAGACAAGAAGAGATATATTATCACCAAACACACACTTTTAGGATAGTTCACCCAAAAAAATGAAATTGTCATAATTTCCTCACCCTCATGTCATTCAAAACATTTATTTTATTTGAAGAATGAATGACATACATACACACAAGCTTAGCACGGAAACATGCAAGAACAAACCTCACTTGTTTTTGTGCTTCACACATGCACAAAATAAATGAGGCAACACACTAGGCATACCACGGTAAGGATATTTTTCCACTGATTAATAATCTTGTGATAACATCGATACTACCGATTACACTGCACACTTTACAAGATATGGTACTTGTTAATGATGCTCAGGATCTGTAGCACTTTTATCTTTAATGTTATATCTTTACACCTTTTCCATTCTTCAAACAAAACGTATGCTTGAAAATGGTTGACTTATTATTATAGTTAATGAAAAACACAACAATAAAAACATACAATGACAAACTTATATTAAACATAAAACTTTTGTTAGGTGACATATGGAGCCCCGCACAAGACATGCAGACAAAAATGTATTTACTGTGGCCAAGAAATAAGAATTGGTTCCTACATTATAATTTGTTTCCTCATTTTATTAAACCGTGGCCTTGTTGTACTAATTTTGGAAACAAATTACTACAACATGGCCACAATTCAATTTAAATTAGTGAAAATTTATATTTTGTGGCAACAAAATAGAAATTTTCCCTCATTTTAATTCAATATATAACTCAAAACGTATTACTCTGCTTATACCTGTGTCATAACAAATAAATTAAAGATTTTCCCTAAATTAATGCAAAAATTTGTGGTTTATTATTATATTTAATAAAAACAAAACAATAATAAAATAAACACAGATAAACAGACTTATATTAAACAGAAATACTGCCAAATAGGCGTTTGCTTTATTGCTGACAGCAAATCCTCCGTCATCGTAACTCCTTACTCTTTTCACGTGATAAGTGAAATTTTGCTCCTGCTGCTCCTGCTGTATGGAGCAGCCGCTTTCAGTTTATAATTGTAGCATCCATTGTCAAACTGAACTAAACAATTTTTATGTCTATAAAAAAAGGAAAACTACAGTGGGGACACTGGGCAAGTAATATAATTAGTATATGGCCAAACAATATGTAATTAAAACAAATTCCTTGTATGTGCAAACATACTTGCCAATAAAGTTATTTCTGACTTCTGATATGCGTGTGTGTAAGTAGGCCTACTACAGTATATATGAAAATGCATATTTTTCAATTAAAGAGAACTTATAGAATTAATATGGACTGCTTTGGGTGCTTGACACTTCATTGGTCATTTTGTGTTTTAAGAATGCTATTCAAGGTTAAGAATACGCTGGAAGTTACTTAAATGTCAATTATATAGGTAACGTTATACATTAGAGAAAGACAACTTTCCTTATTGATCACGTCTTCCCTCAAGTAAAATGCACGTTTTCTTGCGTGGCTGGATGTTGGAATCACGTTGTTTGCATTCGCTCAAACTGATTTGCTGAAGTCGAAACGCGGACGTTAAAAAACTTAACTTTGTTAGTGCGAGTCCCGCTCGCTGTGAAGCGGGAGCGACCAGCCGGCAGAGGATTCCGCTTGGTCTTAAAGCCTCCCTCGAACGGCTATGTTCACAAATCAAACACTTGAATGAATCAGCAGTTTGAATAAATCGGCTGAACAACAGATTCATATTTACGGTCTCATTTTTAAATTTATTTATTTATTTGTTTGTTTGTTTAAATTATTATATATTTTTTATATTCAATTTTTAAACTAATTAATTTATAGTGTTATATGTGTATTATATGTGTATATGTGTACATAAACCTAAATGCTACTTCAGATGCAGCTTCTGAGAACAATGGTATGGCCACACTGTAGCCTTTAAAGTTTGTGTAATAAATTCAATGTTCAATAAAAATATTTCTTTCTAACGTTATACTTTGTAATGTCTATACACTGCTTTTTTAATTTAACACAATAATGATTTACCTTCTGGGGCTAATTTCTCAGGCCAAATTACTGTAGATTTGTGATTAATTAATCATAATTAATTAATCAAAAATTTCACTCCCTCGACAGCCCTAATATACATATGCATAAAAGTGCTCTAAAATCATAGTAATAATACGTAATACTGCCATAGAAATAATTGAAAATATATAACACATTGCCAAGCCCTATCACCAACCTCTAATAACAATAATTGACCGTTATATTGTTACAAATGCATATTAGTATTTTAGGGTAATTGTGCAGCACTTGGGATGGAAACCGAGAATTCCCAAGAAATAGTTGAACTGTGAAACCTGTTAGTCCAGATGCTGCAGAACAGATCAAGAGACTCGCGCAGCCGGTTAGTGCTGTTGTCCTCCCTTATGACCATGTTATAACTGCTACTGGCTGCCACAAAGATGATGGCGGTCACATCTGTGATTATAGACAAGAAGAGATATATTATCACCAAACACACACTTTTAGGATAGTTCACCCAAAAAAATGAAATTGTCATAATTTCCTCACCCTCATGTCATTCAAAACATTTATTTTATTTGAAGAATGAATGACATACATACACACAAGCTTAGCACGGAAACATGCAAGAACAAACCTCACTTGTTTTTGTGCTTCACACATGCACAAAATAAATGAGGCAACACACTAGGCATACCACGGTAAGGATATTTTTCCACTGATTAATAATCTTGTGATAACATCGATACTACCGATTACACTGCACACTTTACAAGATATGGTACTTGTTAATGATGCTCAGGATCTGTAGCACTTTTATCTTTAATGTTATATCTTTACACCTTTTCCATTCTTCAAACAAAACGTATGCTTGAAAATGGTTGACTTATTATTATAGTTAATGAAAAACACAACAATAAAAACATACAATGACAAACTTATATTAAACATAAAACTTTTGTTAGGTGACATATGGAGCCCCGCACAAGACATGCAGACAAAAATGTATTTACTGTGGCCAAGAAATAAGAATTGGTTCCTACATTATAATTTGTTTCCTCATTTTATTAAACCGTGGCCTTGTTGTACTAATTTTGGAAACAAATTACTACAACATGGCCACAATTCAATTTAAATTAGTGAAAATTTATATTTTGTGGCAACAAAATAGAAATTTTCCCTCATTTTAATTCAATATATAACTCAAAACGTATTACTCTGCTTATACCTGTGTCATAACAAATAAATTAAAGATTTTCCCTAAATTAATGCAAAAATTTGTGGTTTATTATTATATTTAATAAAAACAAAACAATAATAAAATAAACACAGATAAACAGACTTATATTAAACAGAAATACTGCCAAATAGGCGTTTGCTTTATTGCTGACAGCAAATCCTCCGTCATCGTAACTCCTTACTCTTTTCACGTGATAAGTGAAATTTTGCTCCTGCTGCTCCTGCTGTATGGAGCAGCCGCTTTCAGTTTATAATTGTAGCATCCATTGTCAAACTGAACTAAACAATTTTTATGTCTATAAAAAAAGGAAAACTACAGTGGGGACACTGGGCAAGTAATATAATTAGTATATGGCCAAACAATATGTAATATCGACAACACTGACTGCCGCAACAAGCCAAGCATCCATAAGTTTCTGCATTTACCATATGTGATCTGTTCATAATATAAAGAAAATTAATTTATTCTAGACTAAAGATTAAACTGCTCGATTCATATGGATTTGTGTTATGAAGGTTTAAATTGTTTTTTTTTTTATTGTTGTTGTTGTATTTTTGTGTGTGTACTCGTTTATGCTACATTGTGGGGACCAATTGTCCCCACAAGGATAGTAAAACCTGAAATTTTTGACATTGTGGGGACCGGCATGCAGTTCCCACGAGGGAAAAAAAAAAAGTAAAAATAGTAGAAGATGTTTATCTGAAAGTGTAACAAAACACTTAAGATATTTTGATGAAATCTGAGAGCTCTCTGACCAGAGATGCATGCACTTTCTACTGAATGTAAACAACGCTCATTACATTGATTACATTCTGGGGTCCTTGCTGTCTATGCAGGGTCAGAGAGCTCTCAGATTTCATCAAAAATATCTTAATTTGTGTTCCGAAGATGAACGAAGGTCTTACGGGTTTGGAACGACATGAGGGTGAGTAATTAATGACAGAATTTTCATTTTTGAGTGAACTAACCCTTTAACATAAATGCCATTAGTTACTTTCAGATATATCAACAACAAAACTGTTTTTGTAAAAAAAAAATTGTTTACAGAAAAAAATATATACCACAAAGCTTGAGTAATTTGTAAGCTCACCGTTAAAGCACTGAATCCATTTCCTCCTTTCATCTCTCTGACCGCCCACATCAAACATACTGACACACAGGGAGAAAGAAATAAGAAATGTTTCTGTATAACAACTGAACAAACAAGTATTTATATAAATGTAGTAACTGAATGCAGTTATAAATCATTAGATCAATTATAGATCCTGCGTATAGTGGGGCCCAAAAGTCTAAGTATACTAGTGTAAATGCTTCTATTCAATTTTTTTTCCTCCATTCTGTCACCAATGGAGTATGGATTCCTTGCCACTGTCGCCTTTGGCTTGCTTAGTAGGTGACACTTAATTATTGGCAATATTGTCGACTTGATTCCACAGACACTATTTGAAGAGAACTGAACTGAGCTGGACAATGACATCACTGAATCAATTATGAACTGACTTTAATTAAAAAAAGTAACTGTTTACTATTGTTCTCTTTTTAGAGCTGAATTGTGTTTGCATTATTGACACTATTTTCCTGTTTAACACTGTAAAGCTGCTTTGACAATCTGTAAGCGTTATATAAATAAAGGTGACTTGACTATTCCTCTCTAATAGACTTTATGCACATTCACTTCAACATTTTGTCTCTGCCAGCTTAGTCATATTCAGTGTAATGACAGAAGTTTTTTTTGTCCTATGATAGTTCTGCTGAGTGATTTCCATGATTTACTGAATTTTAAAATGTTTATAGACAAATTAGACTGTAGATAAAAAATTGGAAATATATTTTTTTCTAGTTCACAGGTATATACACTGCTCAAAAAATGTTTAGGGACCACTTAAATCACACATTGGATCGCCATGAACAAAATATTCAAGCTGAAAATCTTTACTTGTATACACTGTGTAAGAATTAAAAGATGTGACAATGGTCAGTGAAAGCTGAAATCATCAACCCATTAAGGGCTGGATTCAAAATCACACAGGAAAAAATACTGATCCAACTTGCATGAATTTCATCACAGCAACTCAATGTAAATCAGTAGATTGTATGGCCTCCATATGCTACTTGCTACCTTCGGATGCTTCAATAATGTCAAAACACAAAACTAGAGACAAATCAGACTTGCTGTCTTGCTTCTCCAGTGCACCTGTTGTCACTTTCATTTACACCAAAGCAGGTTAAACAGATTCACAATCACTTATGCTTTGTAACTGGACAGACTGATATCCCTGACGTTTAACTGAGTTAGTGATATACTGTGTTGATTAAATGTTCCCTTAATGTTTTTGAGCAATGTATATGAAGCAATGTTTTATTTAGTTTTGTTTATTTTATTATCATTAATGTAAAACACAACCATTTTAAACTCTTCACATTTAAATCATTTCAATTTTGACTATTTTTTCAATTATATTTGTGGATTTCAGAATCCAAATACATTTAATTGGCCAAGTGTACTCATGCACACAAGCAAAGTGTTGAATTCATTTAGTCAAAAGAAGTAGTACTTGGGTACCAAGATGATACTAAAATTGTAAAAATGTGACGATTCTAACCATCAGAAATGTAAGAGGTTTCCATTTACAAGCTTCTGAAGAGTTGAACATTGTAGCCAATCATAGAGATATAGTCAGCTTTTTTATTTTAATGGGACTCACTGAAATGACTGACCGCTCACTTCTTTTTTTTTTTTTTAATAATTTGAAACTGACAAATTAAGTAATTGAGAATTCATCAGTGTTTGTTCCAAATTTAATAAATACTACTTTGCTTTTTGATTCAACAGAATATTTTAAATAATAAAACAAATGAAAATGGCATAGACTAAACTAAGCTGCTTGGAAATGGTCTTACAATCTTTACCATTCTTCACATGCTTTCTGATTACCTCAAACAACTCTCTCCTTTGGTTTCTCTGGTCCATGTTCAGTGTGGTGCACACAATGATAGCAATCAGCATAGCGACTACATTTATCCTTTTAAATACTCCGAATGACAAATTAAACATTTGTGTGGAAGCTGTTTGTTAAAACGCTACTATAATCCAATCTTTTCTAGGGGAACCAACAAATCTGTTCTTTGAATATATCTAGAATAAGCAATTATTTATCTCTTTTCTAATTTTCTTTGCATTGTTCTATGACATACCAAAAGAATGCAGATATATGTGAGACAATAGACCGTTCGCAAAGAGCTTGATTGACAGGCGATCTGACCAATCAGAACGCGGATATTATGTGCTGCCGCTGCTATCCGCCATCTTCCCCGACAGCTACAGCCGGTCTCCATAGAAATCCATGTTAAAACGGGGTAAAAAAGATAATAAGCGGTAAAAAGCTAAAGGAATTCCTTTAAAGTACTTGTTTTGCATACCAGGAAATCTGTCATGTCCGCCGCTGTATGCATGGCTTGCAGCACTTAAGTTAAAATACTGAGTGTTAAATAATAAAATAATATGTTAAAACGTGTGCTCTTATCATTCCGTGAACTTCGCCCCAATCAGGAGCTGTATATGCACATGTGCGCTCATCTGTTTTCAATGCAGCTAACCTCACGTCGCTTCATGTCATCTTCCCACTCATCAAACTATGACAGGTCCTTTACTGCAAAAAGACGGTCACTGCTACACTCTAAAGTGATGAAACTATGGCGCCATGCGCTTTTTTAAACCATTTTCATAGGTTTCACGTTATATTGTTGGCTCAGAAAATATGTAAATGCGCATGTCCAGTAGCCGCAGCTGTATCCCTTCTTCAAATCAGACAGGAGAGTAGATCAACTTTGGTGGACTTAAACTTGAAAAATGGTGTGTTCCGCAGTTGAAATAAAATGCTTTCTGATGTTTATTCATTTCCATTTCGTGCTTTACGTAAATATGAAAAGACATCGGTTCACGTGTTTGAACTTGAGGCAATACAGTGATCTGTCACGACACTTTAAAGAGCCACAAAACAGTATTTATTGTTTGAATTTCTTTAAAAATATACTAATTTGAAAGCTGAGAGTCCTGAGTGATATATTATAAGGAGTAACGATATGTTTTATGAAATGTAGTGAAGTAAAAGGTACGATCTTATGCTTTGGAATGTAGTGAAGTAAAAGTAAAAGTTACTCAAAATAAAACTACTCCAGTAAAGTACAGATACTTGAAAAATGTACTTAAGTACAATAACGAATTAAAACTACTCCTTTACTGTCCACCACTGACTATTTGTACTGCATGCAAACACAATCTTGGCACAGCGGCCCAAAAAAAAGAAGAAAAAAAAAAAAGATTTTAATATATAATATTAATATAATAATATTTAATATATTAATAAACTAGTGTTTTCTGAGTCAATGTCACAAAGATGAAGTTGACGATCCTGACTCGCCATCTCCTCATTGGACGCACCTTTAGAGAGAAATGCATCTTTACGGATTACATAATGACATAATGAATTTTTCCGGTCTAAAGCAGTGGCGCAGGACATTCTAAAAGGCAGTGCTTCGAGACACTGCAAAAGACACGAGATGTGAGCGCAAAGGTAGTGCAGTGGAGCGGGCTTAATGTTCTAAAACAACAACCGGGGAAAATCTAATTTTTCTCACATTTCACTTGTCATAAACACTATACATCTAAGACAACCACACCGTAATCAAAGTGGATATTTTTATGCTTAAAGTGGCTTATGTACGGAGCCCCACACATGACATGCAGGAAAAATTTGTATTTGTAATTTGTAAAGCGTGCGCACAATATAATTTGTTCCCTCATTTTACTAAATAGTATGTACAACTTACTAACTCGTTCCCTCATTTTAAGTAAATTGTGTGCACGATATAATAATTTATCCTGGCCACGATCTAGTAATATCATGCGCACAATTTAATAAAATGAGAAAACAAATTCGTGCTCACTATTTAATAATTCTTTTTTTTTTTTTACGGTTGGAATAAAATAGCAGACTGAGTGAACTGCATCAATATGCTCTTCTTTTACCCGACAACCTTCAATCCTTTAGGCATATATGATGCTGCTGATATTTACACTCACGTACATATTAAGATAGAGAACAATATGTGAATATAAACATACTTTGTTTCTTTTTTTAGCGCATATTCAACACCCTATCTACAGCGCGCCTCTGTACGCTTTGGTCCGTGTTGCGCATGTCAGATTAAATAAGAAATAAATGGCATTTCTTATGTTTTTTTTCTTTCAGTATTTATTTAACCTTATTTATTTCAATTACAGTTTCTGAATGTTATTTACATATAAAATAGCTTACATATAGACTAATGTTATTAATGTATCGTTTTTAATGGAAACGTGTTTATATTTTTACCGTTAGTATACGTGAGGGGAAAAAAAGTTAGAATGAAGGATAAATTAAAATTCATAGCATTTAAACAAGTTCTGCTCGCGTATTTGAAGGTTTCTATTGGATGATTTAGGGTAAACGTCATATTATGCGACTACGCATTACTTTACGGAGAGCTTACGAACTACTAGCTACGTCCTGCCTTACGAACAACTGGTGCAACCAAATAATGTATAGATTTAGTTACAAATTAGCTAGTAGTTACTAAGCCTCTAGTGTGGACTTATTTTTTTTTTCTTTCAATATTTATTGATCCTTATTTATTTCAATTACAGTTTCTGAATGTTATTTACATATAAAATAGCTTACATATAGACTAATGTTATTAATGTATCGTTTTTAATGGAAACGTGTTTATATTTTTACCGTTAGTATACGTGAGGGGAAAAAAAGTTAGAATGAAGGATAAATTAAAATTCATAGCATTTAAACAAGTTCTGCTCGCGTATTTGAAGGTTTCTATTGGATGATTTAGGGTAAACGTCATATTATGCGACTACGCATTACTTTACGGAGAGCTTACGAACTACTAGCTACGTCCTGCCTTACGAACAACTGGTGCAACCCAATAATGTATAGATTTAGTTACAAACTAGCTAGTAGTTACTAATCCTCTAGTGTGGACTTAACGTTTTAATTTAAGTAAGAACTTACGAATGGCTGGTGCAACCCTACCCAGGATGCATCACTTATCTCCCCACCATCAGGCTCTCCATCGCTCATGGTATTTAGTGCTTCTTATAACTCTTCAGCATCCATAAATCGCCTTCTTTTACTCATTTTGTCTTTATTTATTAAACTATAACCGCTAGTTTAGTGAGTGAAAGGCGTTGCCTAGCACTGTACAATGTTAAAACATAAGCGGCAAGAAAATGACAGCGCGAAAATACAGGCATTATAGGTGGGTAAATTTGACCTGCTGGCACTTATAGGTATAAATGCCCTGTGTTTTGATCTGGTTTTATCTAAACAATTTTTAACAACAGCGGATTGTAAATTACACAATTAAAAGTCAATGACTGAGAGACTCGAATGTTTTACTCAAAATCTGTACATTTAAAAAACAGCAACGGGTAAAATTTAAAAAATATTTTGGAGCCTACTGTAGATTAAAATGCTTTACTTCTACGTAAATATATTATATCAAAAAGCTGACTTACTGAAAGTTGACTTTGTCTACTTGAAATCGAGTTTCAAAAATCCCTGAAGTCAGAACACGGCACCTCAGCAAATCCTGAAAGAAATGGACAAACTCTCAATTCAATGACACTGAACACTAATAACAATAATAAATCTAGTGTGACAGCACCCTCACCTGGTCTGTTGGTGTGTAGTCACTCTGTCCTACAGACTCAATTCTGTCCAGGAAGCTGAAAAAAAAAAAAAAAAAAAAAACTTAACAGACAAATTAAAATACACCATGATTATGAAAATACTATACTATAATATAATTAACTAAATTAACTGTAAGACAAATGTTTACCAACATCTGACATTGAGTGTTTCTCATGAAATTAATTTGGTCATTTTTACTGGGTTCACATTATGCTTTGCTCTGATTGACTAGACTTGAACAGTATGTGGGAAGCGGGTTACATATGTATTTGATTAAGTGTAAGCATGTGTGTGGATGAGTAAGTTGGTGAGACAGAGACATATACACCAGACAATTAAAGTGAGAATCTAAAACCTGCACTGGTGACCAACTATGTGCTGTGTCTGTGTTGGCCTCCAGGTGGAGCTCTAGCACAGGTCACTTCAGCCCTGTTTCCTTGCCTTAAAACTTGGACAGGACAACTACATTTTACATATCGTTTGCAACTGTACAGGTTATGCAGTGAATACTGCAAGCTTATCAGATACTGTATACCTCTACATATGACAGTTTTTTCTTTTGCTTTTGAAATGTTTGTCATGCTGTTTGGGGGTCAATGATGCGTTTTGGTCTGATGTTTTACACAGCCATTTTGGGCTGAACAATACATTTGTAAAGCATATTGTCCGTGTCATTTAGTTGACCTGGTTTACTATAGCAGCACAGTGAAGTTAGGATGACCTTTAATAAAAGGGTGGCCCCTTTATGCTGAGATAAAAACAAGGTATCCACAGGATATATTAGGAAAATTTTAAATTGTGGTTTCCAGGCTTGGAAAAGTCAGCTGGACAAAAGATTTAATGGACATGCATTCACTTTACTAGTTACACCTTGCTAGTACGGGGCTGGACCCCAGTTTTGACTTAGAACTGAATTAATTTTTCATGACAAATATTCAACAAGGTGCTGGAAACATTCCTCAGAGATTCTGGTCCATATTAACATAATAGCATCACACAGTTGCTGCAAATTTGACGGCTGCACATCCATGATGCGAATCTCCCATTCCACCACATCCCAAAGGGGCTCTATTAAATTGAGATCTGCAGACTGTGTTCAAAAAACAGTCTAAGATGATTAGTAAAGCTTTGTAACATGGTGCGTTATCCTGCTGGAAGTAGCCATCACAAGATGGGTACACTGTGGTTGTAAAGGGATGAACATAATAGCAACATTAATGAGGTAAGCTGTGGCGTTTTCGAACACACTTTGGCAGCATGATTTGTGAATTTTTTACACCAGCCCATTACTGTGACATCACTGATGAAATTATCAATTTCATCAGCCCCTTAACAGAATACATAGGGCTGGACAATAATTCAATATCAATATGTATCGCGATATAATTTTTTTCAATAACGATGATATGATTTTAAAACACATTTCCGATATACATTTCCAGTGTTTCCCATACATTGATTTATTTGTGGCATTTGACTTCGTTGAATAAACATGAGCACTGCACATTTCAAAATCAAAACACGACGCGGGTGTTTTATATGAACGTATCTCTGAAGGGAACCAACTGTCTTCAGAAAAGTTTCGATGGTATTTTTATTTGATCTGATAAAGTAGCGTTCATGAGCGGGGCTGCTTTGTTTTACAGTCATTACTGGGGAAACCACTGTTTCTGCCGCTCTCAAAGTGCCTCCTGCTGGCAGACAATTTGTTTGCATTTTCAATAATAAGCCCGTCTCCAGCAATGTTTTTGTTGTTGCTCTTTTTTTTTTCTGCAGAAGCTCAGAGCACTTTTCATTCTCTTTGTCCTGGCTGAAGCACATTTGTTTCAATCTATAAGAATAATCAGCCTACACTACCAGTCATAGGTTTTTTAACAGTAAGATTTACATGATCCTTCAGAAATCATTCTAATATGCTGATTTGCTGATTATCAATATTTAAAACAGTTGAGTACTGTTGAGTAAATAGTTTTTTTCAGGATTCTTTGATGAATAGAAAGATACAAAGATAAGCATTTATCTGAAATAAATAGCTTTTGTAACATTATACAATATACCATTCAAAAGCTTGGAGTCAGTATAAATTTTTTTTTGGGGGGGGATTATAGAAATTAATACTTTTATTTAGCAAGGATGCTTTAAATTGATCAAAAGTGATGATTAATACATTTATAATGTTGCAAAAGATTTCTATTTCAGATAAATGCTGTTCTTCTAAACTTTCAATGCATCAAAGAAACCTGAAAAAATTCTATGCTATTTTCAACATAATAATAAATGTTCTTTGAGCAGCAAATCAGAATATTATAATGTTTTCTGAAGGATCATGTGATTGGAGTAATAATGCTAAAAATTTAGCTTTGAAATCACAGGAATAAATTACATTTTAAAATATTTCCAAATAGAAAACAGTTATTTTAAATAGTAAAAATATTTCAAAATGTTACTGTTTTTGCTGTATTTTGGATCAAATAAATGCAGGCTTGGTGAGCAGAAGAGAATTCTTTACAAAACATTAAAAATCTTACTGTTAAAAAACTTTGACTGGTATGTTAGCCTATAGTTTGAAGGTAAAGATATTAATAATTAATAAGGTGAGTCTGAGATGTTTATTTGACAGTGATTTCACATTTCTTGTTTGTATGAAGGCTAAATAGCTACATATAAAAGGTGAACATTAATTTATTTGTGCTGGTTTTTTTTCTAAAATATTATATGGTTTTATATGAGGTGTCATAGACTTGGCATATTCATTTTTCATAAGTTTGTTTGCACAGACATCTATTTTGGGCGTTCTTGGCAGTTTTTCCGAGGCTTTTTTTAATAGTGTTCATATACCGGAATTATATCGTATCAACCGAAATTAAGAAATATATCGTGATATAAATTTTGGCCATATCGTCCAGCCCTATGTTAGCATGATTAGCATGATTCTAATTAATTAATTATTTTATGAGAGCTGGCATTTGAAAAGAGTCAAAATAATTTTAGAATAATATTCAGGGTTATTACCATTAAGTAAAACTATTAAAAACATTTTTTTCTTTATTGAAATTAAGCTGAAATAAAAGAAAAAAAGTGGATGGGGATTATTAGGAGGCCATGATAGACAAGAGCCAGTGACGGTAATTTGGCCAGGACACCGGGGATACACCCCTACTCTTTACGAGAAGTGCCATGGGATTTTTAATGACCACAGAGACTTCATAGACTTAGCAAATTATTTTTTTCATTAGTTTGTAGGTACAGACATCTGTTGTGGGTGTTCTTGGCAGTTTTTATGAGGCTTTTTTTTAATAGTGTTCATATCGATATCGGAATTATATCGTATCGACCGAAATTAAGAAATATATTGTGATATAAATTCTGGCCATATCGTCCAGCCCTACATATACACCAAACAAACACATTCAGATGGTCTCGCCTTGTGTGAGGCCACTATATACTATACTTTGGGTCCATTCACCTCCGTTCATGCGTTCATGCCCATTATCCTCCGTTCATGAATGTGAGAAACCAAAAAATGCAAGCTCATGCAATGTTTTGTCTTATGCTGCTTACCAAAGTTCATGTTTGGTGGATCCTGACCTGTGAATTTGCATATAAAGTGACGTGACATGTGGCCAAGTATGGTTACCCATACTCGGAATTAGTGCTCTGCATTTATCCCATCCAAAGTGCACACACACACACACACACACACACACCGTGAACACACACCCGGAGCAGTGGGCAGCCATTTATGCTGCGGCGCCCGGGGAGCAGTTGGGGGTTCGGTGCCTTGCTCAAGGGCACCTCAGTCGTGGTATTGAAGGTGGGAGAGAGCGCTGTACATTCACTCCCCCCACCTACAATCACCGCCGGTACGAGACTCAAACCCGCAACCTTTGGGTTACGAGTCCGACTCTCTAACCATTAGGCCACGACTTCCCAATATAGAGGACAAATAGCCAAATAGAGGAACTAATCAAGACATGTCACATTTCACTACACAGCACCCATCACAGATCATTTTATTTTGTTGCATAGCAGCTTTATAAAGTTTTGTTGTGCCCTTCAGCTGTGACTATATTCACAATATAGGTCAGGTCACATTTATTTGTATAGCGCTTATACAATATCGCTTCACAGAAATAAACAGGAAACAAACTGTGTTAATGCTGCAATGTTACAACACAGAATGACCTCTTTTACCTTACTGCTTAATTATAAAAGTAAAAGAACAAAAACATCTATACTTGACCTATCGGTAAGCCCCGCCCCCCTTAGTTGCTGTTGCTCCCTCGGACAAACAAACGGAGCTGCTCACTGACTTACAATGACAGCTGTCAGTGTCAAAAGCTGAAAACCTTGTCCCACAATGTTTTTGAACAATTTTGGACACAGAAGGGCCACCATTCAAGTGGGAATTAAATATGCCATGGACGGATATATAAAATATTTTAAAATAAATATGGTGGGTAACTTGAAGCGAGGGTTTACAGATCCCAATGCAAGCGGGAGAAGTCTCATATTATGGCCGTCACGATCGCGGATGACAACATGCAGGATCAACACTGGTTAAATGTCGATTAACTTAATCGTAACCGCACTTGAACAGTTTAATATGGAGAGGCACTGAAATGTAGACCTTCGTTTATGTGATTTTGACCTACACTGTACATGACGTGAGAACAGTTTGCTATTTAGGTTTGTACTTTATCATGGACTCACTAACTTTAATGTTAGCTAGTTTTAGCCAGAGATACCTTGCTGAAGCACAAGATGACATTAACGTTCTGCTTGAGCAGCTGAAAATTGTAACTTAATTAGAGTATGACAACCTCTACATCTTGTCATATAAAAATGACAAGAAAATGAATGTTTTCGTCTTCATTGAGATTGGGGTTGAATGCTTTAGGGACATTTTGCTTTTGTTTTGTTTGGATTTAGGAAATGTAATAAAAAAATTTGGTAACACTTTCTAAGAAGCCCGTATTTATAATACATTATAAGGGTATTCTTAAGGCATTATAATGAATGCATAATGCATTATAAAATACCTTATAATATGTTGTATTTAAATACTACTCCACTAC